GGGGGAACGAACACAGAGTTGCCAACTTTTATTCTGCCAAAGACATTTAAAAAGAAAATAACTACCAATTACTATCACCATTATTTCATTTTAAAAAAACCTAATATGCTTATACCAAAAATGGTAAGAGATAATTTTAGAAAAAAAATACTATCTTCTAAATTAAATAAGTGTAGGTTTATGAGAAGCTCACTCATTCTCATTTCACTTCAGACAAGTGAAAACTTTATCATGGACTGACACCGCTCCACAGTCCAACATTTGGGAACCACGGGTCGAAGCAGCTAACTCCCACTTGGAAAAAGAAAGCAATGGGTAGCACATGCCCAAACCAAATATTAACCTATTCAATAACGAGGAAATCAAGGCTTGGACGTTTAGGGACTCTCCCAAGGTCACAGACCAAGAATTTTGACACGGGTCTATCTGATTCCAGAGTCAGAGTTCCTAACCATCATGCTAAATTTCCTCTAATATTCTTCCAGTGGTAAAAAGATCCATCCCAATCCAGTCACCTTTGTGACCAAGGACAACCGAGGAATTTCCAAGACAGCTGGCAGGAGTGAGAGGTGTACTCCCTGGCCATCACTCAGACTGAAGCTAAATGGAACTCCTGACCTTTGCCTCATGAATAGCAGGCTCAAGGCAACTAAGCTAACCAGCCCAGACAAAGCACACACAAACCCCTGCCTCCGACAACACTGACACAGGACTCCTCCGAGTTCCCAAGTGCCTGGCTTTCACAGAGTGAAAGCCATATTCCTAAAAACAAAAGGAATGTATGAATGATCAAGAAGGAAATAAACACTTCCATGGTAACTCAGTCTAAAAATAATCAACTTGCCCTCAAAAAGTTACAACTCTAAGCCTCATTCTGCAAATAATTACAATCTTTTACACACTGATACACAGGTTCCCTTAAATTAAATATCTAAACAGAAAAACACACCAAGTTCTATAAATCTATAGTTCTTAAATAGTTTCCAAATTAAAATATAGTTTTTATATACGTACCATTATATGATGGATTAAAAGTGTCTTATCATTCTATCTCTCTAGGATAGTCCAAACATTAGAGACAAAACTACTCATGTTAATCAAAAGTACTTATAAAAGAGAGTTGAAAGAAAAATATGTAATTAAATACCACTTTCTATGAAAAGCACTACTAGCAGCCAGTAGTAACAGGAGGCACAAAAATTATCTTTGAATAATCAGAAGTTCTTGATATTGAAACCAAAATTGAAAGTCATACATATAAATAAAGAGAATACTTAATAAAGAGAATAAAAAGCAATATCAGAGAATTGCTTCCATATCACTTGCCAACAAATGTCCAAAAGGAACGACCAAACAGCTCTACAGTAACCAAAGACTAACACCCTGAACCAAATGAGTCTGAAATAGTTCTTCCTCTCTGAAATAGAGTAATGATAGCACAGTATTCTTACTAGCAACGGCAAGAAAGTTTTGTTTCCCAATTAGATTTTCGATGATCGGATTCTTTTCTACTCCATCTGAATCTGCAATGTGAGTGAGCAGTACACAGACTATCAAGTTTTTTACCCACTGAATAAAATTACCTATTTAGTGTCTTTTCCTTGTTTTAAATAGATGCCATCTAAAATAAAGGGTTTTTTTTTTTTTCTTTCCATCTAAACTCTCCCTTGGCTCTTTCATCTTCATATACAGATTCAACTAATACATCTGTTTATATTATTCTCTACACACGTTTAATGTATGCCTAGCACTGACCTCTCTCATGAACTAACTACAAACCCATATTTCCAAAAACCTCTGAGCATTTCCAGTGTTTGGCAAGTATATAAAAAACTCACCATATTCAAAACTGATCTCATTATGCACCTTCTTGTCCATGTTTCTAGTAATAGTACCACAATTGCCATGACCCACACTTAAAATGAGTGTAATCTTCAACCTCCACTTCCTCCAAACCATTCCCAACAATCCCTCCTCCCATCCACGTAGTAAATCATACCAATACCATTGCCCTTGCCTATTATTTATACTTTATTGAAAGTCAGCTGTCTACAACAAATCATTCTACACACTACACTATTAGACCTTGGTAGTTTCTCATTACTTCCCAAATACTCCTAAATACAGCATTTAAACATGTTCCACAATCCAGCCCCAATTTAAATTTCAAACCTCATCTCTTATTCCCAAAAATGAACCCTATATTCTAGGTAATCTGGTCCACTAACTTTCCTCTGAGGAAACAATGAACTTTCCCGCCTCCACATTTGTGCTCACATCATAACCTTTATTTAAAAAGCTTTCTTCATCCACCTACTCCCAGCCCCTAAACTTTTGGCTTAGAAAAGTCTTACCTTCTGCAGTGTTGAACTCAAGCTGCTGGTTTATTGCAAGGTAGCATGTTGTAGCGAAAACACACAGGCTTTGGCACCAGGCAGACCTGGATTCAAATTGGGGCTCAGTTACCTGCTAGCTACATAGCCTGGATACGTTACCCAGGTATCAGGGTATCAGGGCCCTCATTATCAAGAAATATGCTTAGGTGTTGTTATAAGGCTTAGAAAATGTATGTAAAGCAACTAGCATAGAGCCTGGTATACACTAAATGCTCAATAAATAAGAGCTTCAGAGCTAACTTTGTAAGTATTATATATATATTTATAATATACCTATAATATACCTATACCTCCACCACTTTCCATTTTACTCTAAGAATGAATCCATCTTCCTTTCGTACAACTCCAAACTTTAGATCAAACCACTCATGTAGTATTAACGTATATTTCTATATGCTGTAAATTTTTGTACAAATATCTGACATCCCCTTCTAGATTTCAAATTCCTAAAGACCCAAGATTTAATATTTGCATCCTATAATGCCTAGCAGTGATTTTCATGAAGCACAAAGAACTCACCTCCAATTAGAAAAATATTTTAATATGCCTGAATATTTAATATGCTCTTCATGATTTCTGACAAACCTTAAAAAAATTATTGCCAAAAACATGAAGCTTTGCTGTAAGGGCTGTACCTTCACTTGCTCCTACATGGTTGCCTAACATAGCCTAATGCCTAACATAGCAATATCTGTTGAATTGACTTGAATGATATAATCTCCAATGTAAATGTTCAGTATCTGTTGAACTAAACATAATTAAATTTACTAAGGGTATCTGATTTTCCCTAATTACCTTTTTCTGTTCTTACAATTCTTGAAATCCCTCCCTTCAAAACACGTTAACTATCATACCTTCAGTACAGATCCACAACCGTATCTAACTTGACTCCATTTCCAGATTCTCTCAATTCCAATATTCCAACCATAGGCTCTAAAGAATTAGAGCATTTCAAATAGCTAAGAATCTACAGTTTTCATCTAAATCTAAAAGTTGAGCAACTAATCTTCACTCCACAATTTTTTTCAGGGACTTTAAAAATCATCCACCCTTTGCCTGTTGAAGATCAACAACCCTGAAATAAATCTTCTTTTGCACAAGAGAGCTCCCTGAACTTGTCACTTCAGTCTATTTTCCCTAATTCATGAGACTACCTCCCCTTCCAGTTGTGGGAGGTGAGAAAATGAGATAAGTACCCCCCAAAAACTACAGCATAAGTCCTAATATAAGCACAAGATGAGAAGTGCAGGCAAGTGTCACTGGTTTCACAAAGATGGTGTGCATATACTTTACACTGCAAAAACAATGGTCATCTACTGGTAGTCAAAATCTGCAGTAACTGCATTCCCTTATGATCATAATTTAAAAATCACCATTAAATGTGGAAAATCCTATTTCCTACAAATCTTTCAGGAGTAGTTTATTACCTAAAATCTGTTCACTAAAAACAACTACCTACATCACTTTCTCCTCTAGGAAATGCTCGATTTATCCGAAGTAAACACCTCATACTATAAATTAAAAAACAACAACAACAACTAAAGACAAAAAACAAAACACCTCTGCCCACCTGTGTGAACCTCTGCATTGCAGGAACAGCTGTAACAGTCTAAGGAACCTCCTTGGAGTTACCGAGAACAATTTTTCTTTAAAAGTTAAGGAAAATGACAATTCCAAATATGAACTGTTAAGGAAAATGACAATTCCAAGTATACAAAATTCGGGAAAGAGGGGGCATAATAATTCTCCAACCCTTTGCAGTCAATTTGTGCAGCAAACGCAGACTAAACTCATCAACCAACTGTGACTTCTGAGAGCCACAGAATTAGGAATGTAGATTAGAGAAAGCATCATTTTTTACGTCTGCCAAGAAAATAAGGGAATTTACCTGAGCTCCCGATTTTCCTCAAGCAAGTTTTTTTTTTAAGAAGTGACTTCAACAACAGCTTGAGTAAGCTTTCGAGTAAATATCATCGGAGGCACGGTGGTGCCACACTGACCTACGCATCCAGAACCCGTCCCAAGCGCAGTCCAAATCGACCGTAGGCAACACCTAAGCGGGTCTAGATGTAAAGCCTTGCAAAAGGTCTCCGGTATCTACACACGCTTCGCCCCGCCCTGGGACCAAGGAGACACCACCTCTGGGACCCCAGCTAATTACTGAGCCCGAGGACAGACCCAGAGGTCGCGGAAGTCGGGAACTAGAGCCCAAGACTGAGTCTGACGTCCAGATTCCCAGACCCGGGTCGGTGACAGAAAACCAAATCCGAGAGGCAGCGCGACGATTTGGGCGAGCAGAAATGAGGGGGTTGGATGGACGAAGGCCCAGCCCATTCTTACTTTCAAGTCCCAACAGCAACAACAGCTCCGGGAACCCCCTCCCGGGCTCCGCCCCGCCCACCCCACGGCCCCACCGCCCGCTCCTTCCCGCCCCGCGGGCTGGGCGAAGACCGCGGCGGTCGATAACCCCCTTTCTCGAACCCCGACAGCCCAGCCCGCAGCCTGGAGCGGGCAGCGGGGGCCCGAGAACGCCAGCCCCGACGCGGCCCGCGGCCGTCGCAGTTCACTCCGCCGGCCACTCACCGTCGGCCCGGGAGCTGGGAGGGGGCAAGGCGCGGGTTGGCGGACGCAGAACCCCGGACTCCCACCCGGGAAAGAGGCCCTCCTAGGAGCCGACCGAGCCTCAGCGTCTGTACCTACAAGGCCTCTCTCCGGCCCGAACCCTGGAAAAGCACTTCCGGGGGAGCGGAGGAGGGAAGGGTTTTAGCACCGGAACTGCTCCCGGCCTGGAGCTGCCAGGGCCTCCGAGGCGGGGCGGGGCGGAGCGGAGT